CAAGGTGTAGGCTTGATAGGTCTTATGGTAAGAGTATGTTTAGCTTCATAAGAAACCACAAAACTGTCTTCCAAAGTAACTGTACCATTTTACATTCTCACCAGCAGTGGATGAAAGTTTCTTTTGTTTTACATCCTTATTAACATTTGGTGTTGTCAGTGTTCCAGATTTTGGGCATTCTAATAGATGTATAGTGACATCTCACTGTTTTAATTTGCATTTTCCTGTTGACATATGATGTGGAGCACCTTTTTCATATGCTTGTTTGCAATCTATGTATCTTCTTCAGTGAGATGTCTATTTAGGTCTTTGGCCCATTTTAAAAATAGGTTTATTTTCTTACTGGTGTATTGTAGGAGTTCTTGTAAATTTTGATTAACAGTCCTTTATTAGATGTGTCTTTTGCAAATATTTTCTCCTGGCCAATGGCTTATCTTCTCATTCTCTTGAAATTGTCTTCTGCAGAGTTTTTAGTTTTAACAGAGTCTAGTTTGTCAAGTGTTTTTTTCATGGATTATACCTCTGGTGTTATATCTGTAAATTACTGCCATACCCAAGGTAATCTAGATTTTCTCCTATGATACTTTTCATGGGTTTTATAATTTGTATCTACATTTAGGTCTGAGTTAACTTTTGTGATGAGTATACGGTCTTTGTTTTGATTCTTTTTTGCATATGGATGTGCAATTGTTCTAGTACCATTTGCTGAAAAGACTGTCTTTGCTATATTATGTATATTGCCTTTGTCCTTCTGTCAAAGATGAGTAGATTATATTTCTGTGAGTCTGTTTCTGGGGTGCTATTTTCTTCCAATGATCTGTTTGTTCTTTCTCCAACATCACATTGTCTTGATTGTTGTGGTTTTCTAGTAAGTCTTGATATCAGTCCTCCTACTTTGTTCTCCTTCAATGTCAGTGTTGACTATTCTGGGGTTTTTGCCTCTCTGTATAAGCTTTAGTATCAGATTGTCCATATCCACAAAATAATGTCCTGACTGGACTTGCACTGAATCCTTAGATAAAGTTGGGAAGAACGGACACTTTGTCAATATTGACTCTTTGTACATTTGATTCTTCATGTGTTCCTTACCCTTCAGTGAAATTAAAGATAAAACCCTTTAAGTTCTTCTTAATAACACATAACAATTATTTTAATTTTGTTCACTGACTTTCACAGATCACTTTATTAATTTCCTCTTTTTTGCTACCCTTTAATACTCAATATTCTAGCAGTTCCTGAGGAGAAGTACAGCATAGATTATTTCATTCCTTTCTGACTTTCTGAAGGCACTGCTTAGGCTACTCCCTTGCCTGACTTGGGCAGCCTCTATCCAGTCTTATTTAGTGATGGATAGGAAGCCAGTGTGTGCTACTGTAGTCCAGTCAGATTTGAGCTGAATCCCAGATCTGTTAGTTAGATGACTTCAGACAATCCACCTGAAAGCCCCATTTTCTTTTTCTTAAAAAAAGGTGAAAGCCTGCCCATCTATTTTGGTTGTTTTTAGTGTTAAAGTTAATATTTTTAAGGCCCCTAATAGATGGTAATTGCTCAATAAATAATAATAATAATAATACTTTCTCGAGAACACATGCTTTCAGGAAGACAATGTAAGAGATTTGCCTGATCCTTAGTTTTTATTAGGGCCTTGTCTTTGTGTTTTACAGTTTTATGGGTTTTGCCAAATCCATAACAATAGATGCATGGCATCTACTGTTACATATCATACAGAATAGTGCTTTGAAATCACCTATGCTTCATCTACTCATCTTCCACCCCATCCCAAACTTCTGGTGACCACTGATCTTTTATTTTTTTATTTTATTTAATTAGTTTTTTTTTACCACTGATCTTTTAATTATCTATATAGTTTTTGCCTTGTCCAGATGTCATATAATTGGAATCACACAGTATATTGCTTTTTCAGACTGGTTTCTTTCACTTAGTATTTGAATAGATGCTTTTAATGGAGTCGTCCAGATTTTCAACTTCTACATAAACTCTTTATTAATATTAATCTGGCTAAGAGCAATGGTTTATTCATAACAATCTTCCTCTCACTTTACAAAAGAAAGGCACACTTTTATCTATCCCAAATCTTACTATGGGACATTGCCCCGGGGTCATAGAAGACTTAACAATTTAAAAATTTCAACTAATGCCTTAAATTTTTGTTGCAGAGAAATATGATAAAGAATTATAAAATATTTTACATAGAAATTCTATGAGGGAGTGAGATTGCAATAAAGGTCAAGAAAATAAAAGAGTAATGTAGAATTTTCAGCTGTTAGAGAGTTTATTGGGGACCTGGGTGGCTCAGTCAGTTAAGCATCTGACTCTTAATTTCAGCTTAGGTCATGATGTCAGGGTTATGAGACTGAGCCCCAGGTTGTGCTCTGCACTCTGTGGGAGTCAGCTTGAGATTCTCTTTCCCTCTGCCCCTCTATACTCTAAATCTCCAAAAAAAAAAAATAATAAGTTTCTTAATTTATTACTTAAATAGATAATAGTTGGGACCCCTGGGTGGCTCAGTGGTTGAGCATCTGCCTTCAGCTCAGGGTGTGATCCCGGGATCCTGGGATCAAGTTCCCCATGAGGCTCCCCACCGCTTCTCCCTCTGCCTATGTCTCTGCCTCTCTCTCTCTGTGTCTCTCATGAATAAATAAAATCTTTAAAAATAATAGTTTTATTAAATTACTATAGACTTAGATTCCATTGAATATTCTTATAAGTTTCACTTTAAAATGTCTGTATTTCAATAGGGTAGAAACTAAATTCTCTACACGTACCTAGTTTACCACAAATGAAAAATTATCCATGTTAACTTGCTAATGTGTGAGTGGTTCCATAATTTAAAAGCCTCTTAAGCGTCTGTAAGCAAAAAAATAGTTGAAGACTGCTAGCATGATGTATAAAACCCATGTTTTTAAACCTGGTATATAAAACCTTTCATCACTTTTATCCTTCTAGTCCTTTAAAAAAAAAAAAGTAACCATTTCCTGCTGCACATTGTATGCTCCAGCAAGAAAACTCCTTGAAGTTCTGTATCATGCCTTTTTCTGCCTCTTTGACTTTACTGTGTTATTCTTTACAGTCTTTGCCTCACTGCCTCAAACCCTTGCTATAATATGCAGAAGTCTTGATTGAGGAATTCCCCATGGAACCCCTACTTCATATTGGATCCGATGCCTATGCTCCAGTACTCCTTACCTCTCTCTACTAGTCTTCGTCCTCCCGCAGTTTGTTCATTAGCTTGTTTTTCTCTGCTATTGGACTGTAAGGTCTCTGAGAGTAGGAACTATGCTTTATCTTTGCCTCCTCAGCAGTTAGCTGAGTACCTCTCCTGGGAATAAGTTAACTTATTGGGCAAATATTAATTATTGAATGAAACAAAGTGGATTTCAATTGCTAGAGATTTATGGGATGCCTGGGTGGCTCAGTGGTTGAGCGTCTGCCTTTGGCTCCTGGTGTGATCCTGGGGTCCTGTCATTGAATCCTACATCCGGCTCCCCAGAGGGAGCCTGCTTTTCCCTCTGCCGTCTCTGCCTTCCTGTGTCTCTCATGAATAAGTGAATAAAATCTTTCAAAAAAATTGTTAGAAAGTTAATTCTTGTGCATAACTTTTTTTGGGGGGAGTCAAACTGTAAAAGGCTACTTTTGTTTTATGCTATTTTTCTGGCTGTAACGTTTGCCCTTACTGATAAGGCTTTCAGTAAAATTTCACATGAAGATAGGATTTTGAATGTAAAAATGAGTTTAATAATCACTCTTGTAGTAGAAAGAGAGCAGATTGTGAGCAATAAGGCAAAGACTCTAGGTTTGACTCTACTGGAAACTTGCCATGTGACCATGGATAAGTTAACGGCGGGGCGGGGGGGGGGGGGGGTGTCGGGTGTCGGTTTTCTTATCTGTAAAATGAGTAAGTGACCAGATTATTTCTAAGGTTTTCTTTACTCTTGATTTACTATCAAGAAACAAACTTTCATTAAAACAAACATACAATTATTCTAGCAAGAAGAATAGAAAATACGGACTTGATTTATTTTCTAATCATTCCTACTGTGGAATTAATTATGTGTGCTATATGTAGATAATGCTGACCTTGTTCATATCACCTGCAGGCTATATAGCGTCATGGCTTAGATTTTATCCTTAATCTAAAAAAATAGAGTAAAATAATTCAATTGGTTATGATTGAAAATTCAGAAGTAGTTAATATGTTGAGTCATATAATTTTCAGATTATATTTTAGCCTCTTTCACCAAATATATAATTTGATTTGATTAATACACTTTTCAGTGCATTTCTGACATTCTGGAAATGAAGGTACCTGTGTTGAAACATTTCTTTGTAACCAATTACTCAGTTACTACAGCCTTATTCAGTGAGAAGCAATATTCAAAACAATCATAAAAACGCTTGCCTCTGTGTTTGGTCATTCATAAGATGTAGTAATTCGGTTTTATAAAAGCCTGATTGAATGACATTTAGGTATAGCTTTTATGAGGGGCTTGAAGTGATGTTGTTTGGCCAAAACAAAGCCAAGTGTTTCCTGTCTTGTCTTTCACTTCACCCAGTCACCCCCTCCCCCTTTACTTCACCTGCTTGAGAAAAACGGTTTCTTCAGACAAACCTCATAATTGCCCTTCTGTGCCTGATTTGGGCCTCAGGAAAGGCCCATAGCATCTGTAAAGCTGGCAGCAAAATGGTATTTCCAGGCAGGCACAGGGTTGCTGGGTAGCGAGCCAACCCACAGCTTTGTCTGAGCAGCTGAGAACTTCGCCGGAGTCTCCCCGCGGTGTTCAGTAACACAGACCTACGCCGTGAGCAAGTAAAGCACCGAGCAAGTGTCAGGTCAGTATTTATAGACCACTGCGTAGCTGCCTCGCAGAGAGAGAAGACGGGAGAGAAACACGCCCACAGAGGGCAAGGAAAGGCGGACTACGGTGGGGAGAACGTTCGTTTCCAAGATTTATCCTTAAAAAATTCTTTTTCACTGTCAGGTTCACACTGCTGCTGAATCATAACCATTCACCGCTGAGCGATGGCAAGAGAGGAAACAAAAAGTTAGAGGAGCGGAGCGCGCATGCCCTAGTAGTGAGAAGGTAAGTAAGTAGCCAGCTCGGGCTGCTGCTCGCTCTTCCTCGTGAACTCCTCTCCCTGTTGGCTGCTGGGCGGCACGTTAAAGCTGATCAGGAGGGGCTGCCTGCTATCTCAGACTGTTGCTGGTGGCACTGTGATTTTGTAGACTGCTCCGAAGGATGTTGTGCCCATTCAGATTATGCTGAAATACGTGGAGGGTGGAAAAGGTGCTCCCCCACTGACTTCACGTGTCCTATCAGCAAGTTTCTGTTTCTTCGTTCTGTCAAACTTGAAGTCTTCTGATTGGCAAATTCTGTTTGCTTTCGTCCCAGCATTAAAACAGGACTGTATTTGTGAGTTTATGGTAGTCAGTGGTCCAGGAATGGAATAAGGGAAAAATTCAGACACGTGCGTGTGACGGCGTAGTAGCCTTGTCAGTGTGTAAGCTGTGAATGTGCACAGCGCGGGCTCCTGTTCAAAGCAAGCCCACGTCGTTCTGACAGTGCATGAAAGTGAATCAAGGACCAGCTTTGGGAACAGAGAGAACAGAGTGATGAGAAGCGAGAACAGTCTTTTGAATCCAAGATGCACATCAGCGTTGAGGAGAATTTATCTGTCCAAGCAACCTGCTAGTTGGTTCTGTACAGAAAGCAACCCCCTACTAACGTCAGTGAATTAACACATGTCTTGCTTCACGGTCCGTAGTTTGTTTTCCTTTCGTCGCATTCAGCACTTGGACACCTTTCTCTGTGTGTTCACAGTGCTGCGGGGTGTTAATTTATTCGCTATTGTTAGGTGTATTTCAGATTAACGTTAAAAGCAGTGGTGCTGAAGGGGACAGAAATAGTTTTCTATTATTTTCTGATTTTGAACACCCACGCAATTTATAAACTAGGGTGGTTTCTGTCCACTGCACATGGCATGGAAAGTAAATATGTTGCTTTGCTGGAAGTATGGCAGTAAGTAGGTGAAGCTTATCTGCTGACAGTGAAAGCTTCCCTGTTGTTGTTTTTTGAATTATAGAACCATAAGCATTAGCATGATACTTAAAATTTTTACGTTGAGTTATAGATGCTGATTATAGCTCCGAAGAGTTTCTGTATTACAGATTTAAGTTAAAAACAAAGATGAGGGATCCCTGGGTGGCGCAGCGGTTTGGCGCCTGCCTTTGGCCCAGGGCGCGATCCTGGAGACCCGGGATCGAATCCCGCATCGGGCTCCTGGTTCATGGAGCCTGCTTCTCCCTCTGCCTATGTCTCTGCCTCTCTCTCTTTCTCTCTCTGTGACTATCATAAATAAATAAAAATTAAAAAAAATTAAAAAAAAAAAAAAACAAAGATGATACTAAATTGTCTTGCAGAGCTTGAACTGTAGGCCTAAAGAGATCCAAGGAAGAGCTGATACTCTGGCACAGATTTCGTGTTAGGGCTAATATTCAGGAACCTGCTCATTTTAAGATAGAATAAACCACATCCAAAATGGCAGGCGGAGTAGGTCCAAATGTAGAGTAATTATATCAAGATGAGGCCAGTCATTATAGAATATCACTTTTATTGAATCCCGTATAATTTCCAAATAATGCAAGATGTTTCAAAATTAGTTCTATTAATTCAGAAATACTTTGAGGGTAATCTCACGTAAATTTAAACTATATTTTAATGTTCATACAATGCTTATTTTAGCCTCTGAATCAAGCTTTGTTTTGTCCTTTTCAAGTTCTACCTCCCAGTTTCTTAATGGGTTTGATTTAGATTTTGAACAACAATATGTTTATTTTGAAAATGCAGCCATGATTGATCTAGAATGGATATTCCTCAGTTAAATTTTCTTTGCTACTGCCTTTGGGTAGTATCTTATCAGGATTATACTTTCAGTTCTTTATTCAATATCTTTTATTCACTTTATGTGTTGCATAAACACATGATAGTACTTTCTTACACTTTTTTTTTTTTTTTACTGGTTTAATTTTTATTCCTTTTGCTATCTTTTTTCTGAAGTACCCTGTGGAAACTTGGGGCAGAAAGCAGACCAAATAAAATTAGTACAATAAAAAGAAACTAAAGAAAGTTGCTCCCTTTAACCAAGAAAACAAAGGGAAAATTGGGAGATTGGTTGACAGTGTCTAACATGGAATGTATTTTGGTTGAAGGCTGGTTGAGCATTTTAAGACTTGAGATTACGTCTCAATATTACTCAATATTATCTTTGGCTTTCAAGTCAATCCTCATAGTGGTTATTTATCACATTTGTAAACAACATTTTATATAAAGGCATATTATAAAGAAAGAACGTAAGACCTTTTGTATCATGTGTTAACTGTCGAAGTAAGATGAATGAATTTAGCTTGAAATTCTAATATTAACCTCCTATACTACCAACCCATCTACTATATTACCCTCAGGTGGGTCAGTCTCCCACCCCCGTGAACTCTCTTTGCTTTCCTGCTAAAGCTCTCTCATCCCTGGCTCTCTGTTGCTCATAGATAAGGGTCAGTCTTTTTGGCACAGTGAGTATCTTCTTGATCGGGCTGCTACTTTTGTTCTGTGTTGCTCTTCTGCTCTTCCTTCTGGGTTGTTTTCTATACCTCTCTTGCTTACTCATGAGAATATTCCCCTTCCCTCTGTTTCACGCTCCATAAATATTGAACATCTTGTATTTCTCAAAACAATCTGTACAGTTTTACTCCTTTCTGTAGTTATTTATGTTGCTTCTATTCTGAAAACTTTCCTGATCTTTGCCTTTTAGCCTCAATGAAGGCATCCCTTCTAGGCACCCTGCTGGTCCACTGTCAGGTTCTCTGGTTTGGCCTCCTGCATCGACCTCTGTCACAGCACTTCCCAAAGTCTTATATAATATTTTTGCTTCTTTTTTCCATGTGAAATTGTAAGCTACTGTAGCCAGGTTTTAAAATTCATTCTTTGATGTTCCTCCAAGATCCAGCATTCAATAGATAACAGAAGAACTTGAACTAAAGAAATGCTTTATTGTATTTATTTGAAACCCACTTTTCTTTATAGAATTTTTATCTTCATACATTTCAGAACTTTGATTAATTGCATTGAAGGAAAGCCCCTTAAATAAACATAAAGGCTTTTGAAAGAATAGCAATGCTTTAAAAAGTTATTTTGTTTCTCTTACTACCACCAATCACAGTAGCGGGCGTATAGGTGTTTATCCCTGCAAGCAGATATCTGTTGAACCCATAAAGTTATATATGAATAATAAAGTTCAAAATTATATTGGTTAGCACATACAAATTCAGGATATACAGCCCAAAATTGTTGTTTAATTTGATGAAATCTATTGACAAAGTCAGCTAGTTGCTGCTCTCACATGGACTCCTGTGATAAATTAAATGATGCCCCAGCAAACCGAAGAGTGTTACACCTTTTAAAAGGCCCAGAGAGAATATTTGGAGAGTCTGGATCCATCTTCATGTATCCTAGAAAATTGTAGAGTGGAATGGCTCCCAATGTGACTGATGAAGGTATACTTCCTAATTTTGTCTTCTGTTATAGAGATAGAGATTTAAGGAAATAATAGAAAATCATGGCTTAAAAATTTTCAAAACCGGAGGGCAGTATTCCATTTAAGTCAGAAAGTCAGAAGAATTAGCTCCTCAAAATAGAAATGTTGAAAGAAAAGGATGTCAGTGTTTAAAAAAGTAGTTGAGAAATGACAGCTGTTTCTTTTACTTTTGATACTCAACAAAAATAAAATTTATTTTGTCCTTACGTTTTATTTCCCTACCATACATGGAATACTTCTTTGTGTATGAAATGTTTTGTATATCAGAAATAAATGTAAAGCTTTATGCACAACTGAGAGCAATTTACTTTTCTTATTTTGATTTTTACTTCTTAGTATATTCAACTTCTCTTCAGATATATGTTGCCCACATACCTATCCTATAGTTAAATAGGTATGGGAGAAGATATTTCAAGGATTATGGTTATAATTATATGTCTCACTGGTATATCAGATAATCACAGTATTGTAAAACTGAAAGGGTAGGGCTGTGTATGTGTTTGTTTTTTGTTTTTTTGGTCATGGACACCAAAATGTACTTAGTTCCCATCAGCCAGTAATGAGAGAAACCCAAGCTTGCCTTAGTATTAAAAGATTATGGCAAAACAAGGGTACCTGGGTGGCTCAGTTGGTTAAGCATCTGCCTTCAGCTCAGGTCATGATCCCAGGGTCCTGGGATCGAGTCCTGCATCTGGCTCCCTGCCCTGCAGGGAGTCTGCTTCTCTCTTTGCCCCTCCCCCCCATTCTCTCATGCTTGCTTGCTCTCAAGCAAATACATAAAAATCTTAAAAAAAAAAAAAAAGATTGTGGCAAAACAAGCCAATAGAAGCAAAAAATATCCCCACCCCATTAAAGAGATTGAACAAGTTTGTGGTTGGAGTGAGGTGTAAAAGATTTTGCCAGTATATTAGTGTCTTATTTTATTATTATTAGCAGGTTTTTCTATAGCTATATGTAGCATAGGATTTATAGTTTTCCAGTCAGTTTTACTATAGCTATGCATGGCATGGAATTCATAGAACATGAGAGCAGAAGAATAAATTCGTCGTGGGAGTTGAACCTTATTCTCCTTTATCTATTTCGTTTTATAGATTTGGGTGAATGTGGTACAAGAAGATATATATATATATATATATATATATATATATATATATATATATCCATAGCTTTTATGTGTGTGTGGGGGCATTTTATTATTATTATTATTATTTTTAAAGATCTTATTTATTTGAGAGACAGAGAGGGCATGAACAGTGTGAAGGAGCAGAAGGAGAGGGAGAAGCAGACTCCTCACTGTTCAGAGAGCCCAACTTGGGGTTCAATCCCAGGACCCTGGGATCTGACCTGGGCTGAAGGCAGATGCTTAACCAACTGAGCCACCTGGGTGCCCCATATTTTAAATGATAGATATCCTTTCTAGCTTTCCTGATTTTCCCCATTGTCTGTACTACCAGATTTAAGCACCATAATCACTCTCCTTTTCAGTACAACATAG